AGCAGCAGCAGCTGCTGCTGCTGCTGCTGCTCCTCCTGCTGATGCTGCTGCTGCTGCTGCTGCTGTTGCTGCTGACCCCGTCACTGCCCAGCTACAGCCTGACGCGGCTGACTCCCACGGCGGAGCTTGCATAGATCTGCAGCGGCAGCAGCAGCTGCTGCTTCTGGAGCAGCAGCAACAACAGCAGCTGCAGCAGCAGCAGCTGCAGCAGCAGCTGCAGCAGCAACAGCTGCAGCAGCAGCAACTGCAGCAGCAGCAGCCACGGTCGAGGCGCAGGGCTAAGGGGAACGGGATGGAGCAGCAGGGGCAGAAGAGACAGCGGAATGATAGCACCAGAAGTAGGAAACGTGGTGAGCAGCAGCAGCAGCAACAGCAGCAGCAGCAGCAGCAGCAGCAGCAGTTGCTGCTGCAGCAAGAATTGCCTTCCTGCCTTCCTGCGCAGCCGCAGGTACAGCAGCAGTTGCTGCTGCAGCAGACCGCAGTGCCCATGCAACCGCCAGGAGAAATCAGCAGCAGCAGCAGCAGCAGCAACAGCAGCAGCAGCAGCGTGCTGCAGCAGCACGCTTCTGCTCAGCTGCACCCAGAACAGGATAGTTTCTCTGCAGCAGCAGCAGCAGTTGCTGCTGGGCTGCCAGAGGCATATTCTGCTGCAGCAGCAACAGCAGCAGCAGCAGCAGCAGCACCAATGTATTCGCCGTCTTGGCCATTAGATACCGCAGATCCAGCAGCAGCAGCAGCAGCAGCTGCAGCAGCAGCCGCAGCTGCTGCTGCTGCTGCTGCTAATGGGATTCCTGGGGCCCCACAGGTGGGCCCCCCCACTTAATTTTCAGGGCCCCCTGAGGGCATTTACTTTTCAGGTATTGGGGGGCCCCTGGGGGCCCCCAAGGGAGCAGCAACAGAGTATGCTGCAGCAGCAACAGCAGCAGCTGCAGCAGCAACAGCAGCAGCAGCAACAGCAGCAGCTGCAGCAGCCAATGTGCTGCCTACTAAGAAGGTGTTATGTATTTATGTTTGCTGCGCTCGAGCAGCAGGTGGGGTGTATGTACACCTGAAGGGCCCCTATAATAAATTCTAGGGGGCCCCCCGGGGGGCCCCCAGGGGGGCCCCCAGGGGCCCCCTGCTTGATTTGTACTTTGTTATATAAAAATTAAGAGCAATGAAACAACAGCAAAGAGAATCGATATACTATATGTGGGTATATATTTTTTTGTTTGTCTTTTTGTGTTGTTTGTTTTTTTCTTTTTTGTTTGTCTCCTTTTCTTTTTCCTTTTTTTTTTTTTGTTTCTGCATTGTCTCTGTTTCTGTTTGTTTATAGTCTCAACAGAAAGAAGAAAATTA